GGTGTAATTGGGAGCATTTGACGGACTGGTCTGCGTTAGACGAACATTTGAAGCACCGGTCTGAGACACTTGCACAGCATGCACAACATGCGCAAAAACAGCTCTGCGATGCACGAGCTTGCGACCCACTGCATGAAGCGGGGGCATTCGCGTTGCCAAAGCAGCTTGAAACATTGATTCAACATGTTCATTTGTACCGGCTGCACTTGAGCACTTCGACCATGGTTCTATGGGGGACCGGAGTTCCATTTGCCCGCATTTACAAGGAAGCGGGCTGTTGCTCAATCGAAAAGAAGCTGAATGATTAGGATTGGTATGCGTCCTTAGGGTAAGACAGCATATATATTTCTATAGCTAGCAATACCTCTCTGGATCCACTCGATGGTGTAATTCCAGGAGTGACCTGGGTAACTACTTCCTTGTGCAGCTGTTTCATCAGTTGATCAACAAATCAAGACTTTTGGGACACTTTCCTGCCACAGCATTAATTGCAAAGTGGCACATCAAGGAGAGGTAGTTTGTAGGTGGGTTTTCATGCTACAAGATCATCGTTTGATGGTCAAAGTTAATCAAATTTATATTGGGGTAGGCCAAGCACCTGGATCAGTGACATATCACTAAACTAACGGCCTACCTTGGCTGCTGCACATGGATGCACAGGGGTTGGTTCCTAAAAATAGATTGGACGTGGAAATGCGGATTTTCTTTCTGTCAGCCACTCAGCCACTCAAGATCCTGAGTGGCTGAGTGGCGGACAGGAACAAAATCCTGAGTGGCTGAGTGGTTGACAGGAAGAAATGTCTGAGTGGGTGAGTGGCTGACAGGAACAACATCCTGAGTGGTTGAGTGGCTGGCTGACAGGAAGAAACGTTTCAGTGGCTGACTGGCTCACAGGAAGAAAAGCCTGAGTTACTCAGGCGTTCCTTCCTGTCAGCCACCCAGGCTTTTCTTCCAATCAGCCACTCAACTGCTCAGACTTTTCTTTCTGTCAGCACCACTCAGGCTTTTCTTCCTGTCGGCCACTCAGCCACTCAGGCTTTCTTCGTGTCAGCACATATTCCCTAAAAATAGGTTAGTGATGACCCAGAAAAAGGGGTGGGCTCCATCAATTTTATTGGAGCAGATGGGTGTTTTATTGGATGAAATGAAAGTGCTGGGAGCCAACCCTAATATCAGATTTGAAGTATATTTAGGCTGCAATGCCTTTGATTTTATTTTCCTTTCCCCACCCTTAGCTAGCACCACATTAGCACACACACACACACACCCAGCAAGACAAACAAAAGGCACCATAAGAAAAAACAACTTTGGATGAAATGAAAGTGATGGGAGCCAACCCTGGAACCACGCTAGATACGTTTAGGCTTGCATTTAATTTAAAAATCAATTTCTTCTTCACCCTTAGCTACCACCACAATAGCACACACACAAGCGCAATAGCAATACAACTGGCACTTCCTTCAACGAATGACGCTTTGCTGAACTCACTGTTTCAGGTAGCCAATCACTATTTCAGGTAGCCAACCTTAAGAGCATCACTATTCCCAACCTTAAAGGATCCTAGAAACCTTCAAGCGTTTGCTTATCTATGAGGCTGAGGTACCAGACTACCAGACCCCCACCTGCACCAAGCCTACCTGCCAACGTTACCCCCAATAAAAACACTACTTGGAGGTCGGCTACCCTCGTTAATGAGGGTGGCCGACCCTCACTGGGAGCTACAACCGGGGATCTAAAAGGCTTTGGCCGCCTCCGCCTCTGGGATGCTAGTTGGAAAGGTGGACTCGGGGGTCCCTACTGCGCGCCTTTGTCACCAGGTGGCTCCTAGGACGCGGGGCTCCAAGCGGAAAGGGCGAAAGGGCAATCTTCATCTGTCACTGCCGGGCGGAAGGGTTGACTCAAATTCACACTTTAGAAGCAATCACTCCACTTAGTAGCTTTTGTTTGCAGCACCAAACACCAACACCAGAAGATGCGAGAACAAATCTTGCATGTCTGAAAAGGGTTTTTTGATGTGTGGAAGTGATGTTGTCGAGCTTATATGAGTTTTTGTGGCCTGTCTGTTGGCAGTGGGAAGTTCCAGTTGACTTTGTAGCGTGGTTCTTTCGCTGCTTCGCAGGAAGTGGCAGAAAACCTGCAACTGTGGAAATAGGAAGGCGGAGTTGTAGCATCCACCTGTGATGGTTACTGCTATGTTTTCTAATGTAAACTTTTTCTGGGCTCACAAAGCTTCAGGCTTTGGTCTTTGGTGTTCCTTACTGTTCCCGGAGCGGTAATCAGCATTGCGTGTTATCCAACTATCTCCGTGACGTCGAAACACCTGTTTTTCTAAAACTGAGTTTGTTTAAGGGGCTTACGCCCAACTGCCTGCCAGCCGGGGGCCCAGTGGCAGGCGGCAGAGGCAAACAGCTGAGAGCGGTGGTGGTTGTTGTACTTGTTGGTGGTGTTGTGGTGGTAGTTGTAGTAGTTGTTGTGGTTGGTATTGTGGCTTTTGTGGTTGTTGCTGTTTTTGTTGTTGTGGTGGTGGTGTTGCTGGTGGTGGTGGTGGTGGTTACTTTGATCAGAAGCAGAACCAGAAACAGAAAGTGCCAATAGTGCAAGGCAACTTAGGAAGCAAAACTTGCACCTTGGGGTTCTCTTGATGTTCAAAAATATTCAAAAATATAAATTCCCAGCTTCCCTGCACGATTACTTGAACGTCCTCACAAGCATGGTGAGCACTGCATACATGTTTTAGAACGAACACGATGGCACAACAGCCCACCTCTCCACGTCCGGAGAAAATCAACATGCTCAGAAACCCAAGGTGCCAAAGCAAACGGCTTGTGTGGGCGTGGGTGAACTGCTGACCGTTTTGAACAATACGAATGAATATAGGTGGCGAGTTCCATGGAATGTCGTCTCTGAGAAAGGGTTTTGAAGGTTTGTGTGTGTGTTTTTGTCCCCAAAGTGGCTATGTTGAGGCCCTACTGAACTTCGATCTTGGCCCATCGGCGCGTTTGCTGATGCTGGCTCGACCCTTTTTATGAGCGCTTCAAAAACAATTCGGTATAGGCCCACTTTCCAAGAGGAACCCACCAAAGTTGTCGCATGCGCACGCGCCTCCAATTTGTCCTTCCTTCTTTCTTGGAGGCATGCCTGAGACCGCGCCACAAAATGGCCCCATGCCTGAATGCAAAGGGGTGAGGGGAAGCCGAACCCCAGGCCAAATCCTGGGCAACGTTTTTCCGGGAAAAAATTTTGGTCAGCAACAAATTCTACTAGTAGAATTTACACATTTGTCAATTTTGTTGCCAAATTTTTAGTAATTTAATGTGATCGCAGCGGAGTCCCTCTCAGGAACATGCCGGCCCCGCTCCGCTCACGCTCATGTTCATTGTTCTACACTGGGGTTGGGGGATTTCGTCTTATGGTTTAACCTTATGACACTTGTTTCCCCGCCACTGACACTGAGATGTGACTTGATCTCCCTGGACGCGGAGACGCCCAGCGAGCTGGGCTTTACCATGGCTATGACAGAGGCTGCGCATGGCTGCGTTGCGATCGGACAGGGACAGGTTGGTGTTTTGCGGGCTTCAGGCCATCCACTCCTTGTGGGGCAGACGGCAACGCATGGAAAGTCGACGTTGTGATTTTATATATATATAAATATGTATATCTATGTATGAGCGATGCAGATCAATGACGACATATGCTGCATTATGAAGATTTTTGTCAAAACTCGGCTGGAACGTGTGCCCATCGAGACTATTGAAGAGATGATGGCTGACAATTTCCCTTACGCAAATCAACCACGAGGCCCCTCTTCAAAATTTCCATGTGATTTGCTCCAAAAGGGGGAACAACACACTTGGGGAGGTGGTTTGGAGAATGTTGGAAGTTTGAAGACAGAGACATCAATTTAGCCATGCACTTGGCATTTTCAATCTAGCAAAACTCTACAACGAATTCAAACGACTGCAACTTGCACCAACTACATCGCGTGACTGCAGAGGACTTGACGGCGGTGCCCGAGACTGTACACCGTGACTTGGTGGCCGAAACCGAAGCGGTGTCCAGTTGCATCCAAAAAGACGAAGAGATGCTGACCTAAACATTTTTTACTTGGAGGACGAAGGTGGGAAACCCTCAGCACTTGCTTCGATCGAAGACTCCGTCAACTCTTGGATGCCGGTTGTTCTAGTTGTTCAAGCGGGTCAAACGAAACCGATGGCCAACCCCACAGATGCCCACCTGGCACTGTTGTTCGCCGTTGTTTCCACGTGTCGCGCATGTTTTTTTGGTGTTCCAGTTCCAGTGCGGGATTGCTTCAGCACCTTGTGGACGCACCCACATTGTAATACTATTATTAGATTGCCCACCTGAGCATCCATCTTGGCAATAGATTATGGTATTATATGGTAAGTTTACAGACATCCGCGTAATTTCATCATTCGGGGACATTCATTGAAATTTCGGCAAAATCCAACGTAACTGTCCCGCAGACTGCCAACAACCCACAGTAGACATCTAGCCATGGCAGACCGTGTGGCCTGTATCCTCATATTGGTTGGTCTCAAACTAGGCGACACCAGGGCCCCTAAGTCTTTCGGAATAACAGATGACCATCCAGTATCAGTAGTGGTTTGCCAGTGGGTTCGCACAAAATAAGACACCCCATATATATATATTAATACACATTTGAGGATCTGCCTTCATATCTCACAGTTTGAGTCCCACCAAGGCGCAGCAGACGCAGCACCTGCAGCTGCAGCACCTGGGCCTTTGCCTGGGTTCGGCGCGAACCAGGCGGGTGAAGCCGAAAGAGACATGCTCCTCCAGACAAAGGATGTGAACACGGGCTTTCCAAACTCAAAGACAGGTTCTCGGGTCCCGTTTGGGTGAACTCATCTACAAAAGGAACGAGCTCCAGTCCCTTTTCTCAGCTTTGCAAAGTTTGTGATTGATGTGATGCAATGTTGCTTGAAACATTTCCACGTTTGATTTATTGATACCGCCCGAGACATTTTTGCTCAAAGGCCTATTTTTCGCAGATCGCTCCCTTAAGGGTTCCCGTGGCCCTCTCCTATGTCCATGTCCATGATGCCCATGATGGCAGTGCCAGCACAGGTAGTGGGTTTCCACCAAGCGCTTGTGGTGCCTGTGGCAGCTGTGATAGTGAACCTTCACGCTTCCTCTTGCGTAACACCATGCTCCACTCAAAGCTCAGCATCAGAAGGAAGCATCTCGCGGCAAAACTCGACATCTGCAGCATCAGAGCAAGGCAGGTGTGGACATCTAGTGAAACTCTTGCGAACACCCCGAGAAGAGCCAAACCAACACCCCCATCGGAATCCCAGGCTTTCCTGAATTTCTATGCTTCCACCTAGTTCTTTGCAGATTCAGCATGATGCAGGTACTTCAGATACCTCTTCAGAGGGTCCAATCCGTGGCCGTGTTTGGTGCATGTCCCAGCGCCGCAATAGCTGTCGCTTTGTCCAAGCTAGCTTGGAGACATGTAGCGATGCGGAGCGTTTTGCCTTGGCTTTGGAGCTCCAGGGGCATGTGTGGGCAGCTGCCAAGTCTGCCTGTGCAAACTATGTTCTGCAAAAGTTCATACAACTGCTCCGGCCCAAAGATTGTCAGTTCATCATCGATGAACTCATGACGAATCCGGCAGATGTACCGAACTTGGCACGCCATGAGTACGGCTGCCGAATCCTGCAGCGGCTCTTGGAACATTGTCAAGCTCAGATGGAAGGACTTGTCAAGCTCTTGTTGGAGGATGCCCGGGCTTTGATGTGTCACAGCTACGGCACTTACGTGATGCAGCAAATCTTTGATTTTGGTCTCCTGGCAAGTGTGGATGTTGCCTTATTTGATCTTATTTGTGCTCAAAAACGTAGAAATTGATTTGAACGGCACCACATTCTGTTTTGCATGCGGTCGTTTCAATTCTTTGAACCTAGACACCTCACCATTCTTTGTCTTGCAGGCACCAATGTGCAACGACAGCAGCTTGGTGAGGGCTTCTTTGGTGCTTTGGGTGCCATGGGGAAAGACCCGAATGCCACCCAGGTCCTGCAGAAAGCTTTGGTCCATGCACCTCAAAGAGTCGCCTTGGCGCGATCCCTGGTCAATCAACTCGCAGAAATGGCACGTGGCCGCCATAGCCATCACACTGCCCTGATGGCCTTGAAGCTCTTGCCATCCCAGGATCTGGCCAAGGCGAACGCACTTCTGGCGCGAAAGCTACAGAAGCTTTGGGCAAACCGCTATGGACGCTTAGTGGTGAAGTCCATTCCCATGTTGCATGATCAGTGTGTGGGCATCACAAAAAGGGAGGCAGCTAGCTCATTCGATGCGTAGATGAGGCCTGGACTCTAGAACGAAAATTGATTTGAGGGAACGCAGATTCGCGAGATCCCCACTCTTCTTTCCCAATAGAATCGAATGACTTTTTGGATTGCATGTCTTAGCGGGCTTGTCTGATAGTACGAGTCTGCACTGAGAAGCTTTCAAGGAGGTGTGAAGATCCTCCAGCAACCATTGTTGCGTTGTTCTGACTATGTTGTTAGCTACATTAAAGGAAGGCCGTGGTGAGAAGTGTGTTTTTTCTTCGGACTTCATGCAACACATTTCACAAAAAAGCATCAGCATCTATATTCTGTGCTTAATGAGGTCCTGGTGCTCTCAAGAGCACAGGCCTATGTTGTCCAGTGCAGTTTTTGCAGTTAGTTTCGACAGATGGTTTCAGCCAGCTGTTCAGGTGAATTCAATTGTAAAGTCTCCCTGCTAGGTTGCTTTGTCTAGCTTTCCATAAGTCAGTGTGACGCCTCCGTCTGGAAATACGGACGTCACTCTGGTGGGCCTAGCATCGTTAGCAGGGGGCCATTCCAGCGGGCTGGATGTGCCGCAGAAAGTCCAGACGCTGCGCAGATGCGAAAGTCCAACTGTTTGAAAAGGATCAGCCAAGCTGCAGAGACGCCGTTTGTGCAGGTGACGGGGTGATGGGCTGAGGGGAGACGCCGAGGATTTGATACACAAGTGGACCACATGAACAACCTCAGTACAAGAAGCCGAAGACGCTGTGCAAACAAGACCTGTTGACTTTTTTCCAACAAATTCCAGGGTCCGTTCACATCAACCCCCATATGCCATATATGATACTTTTTAACAGGAAGCAAGTGACCCCCCAACACACTTCAACCCTGCTTGTTTGCCTGTGCAACCCCAAACAAGCTAGCAGCTTTCATTTCTAATGTGATTCAGTCGAAGTTTCCAGTCGATTTGACATGACGTCAACTTGGTCTGGCACCTTCGGACCACAAACTGTGAGAAACGGTGAAGCGTGCTGCGACGATGTTTCTTTTTGGTGAATCACCTGGTGAAGAACTCTCTGCCTCCAAATAGTCGATGGAGATCATTACGCGACTGCTGCTGCCCCTAGCAGTAGCAGCGTGCGAATGCAAATTCAGGCAGTGCATAGCGTGCTCTCCAGCATAGTAGAACCTGATTGACCTCTGTTTTGGAGCCCAAACATGGTCTTTTCATCAACAGAGGTCAAACGGGTTCGGACGAATCCGACGGCTTTGGCCTCGCAACATCCATCGTCCACCGGGTCAAGATCTGCCAGGGACGTCAAGCACGACGTCAAGCACGTCGACGTGTCGGGTAGCAGAGTCTCAGAGATCAGCTCCTACTGCTGGAAGAAAGACACTGACTGCATGGCACCCCTTGCATGTAGAAATCCTTGGGACATTGGACCTGATTTTGGATGATGAACAATGAATGAAAAATCAGAGAGCGACTCCTAGCCCCTCCCCCCCAAAGTTCCCCTAGCAGCATCCCAAAGCCTGGCACACGGGACTCGGGACATTTTGGGATGAAAACTACCCAGATGATCCCCCTACTGCATGGACTGCCACGAGTGGAACACAGGTTTCATTTAGTGGTGCTACACGTCATAGGAGGCAGCAGATATCCCGGAAGAATGACCACTAGCTCTTCAAGAAGCCCAAAACAATGACTTAGTATACTGATGCTGCTAAATAGTAGCATCCCTTTTTCCCCGTTTTGCTAAGTTGTGCTGGGTGGGAAGCCCACCAACCATTCGTCAACCTCCGGTTCTCAGAAGCATTCATTCTGCCACCTGCGGCAGACTTGAAATGACAGCCGTACTTGTCAACAGGCTCCCTCATGCAGATTCTTCTCGGGTCTGGAGTTACAGCAGGATCACTTTGTTCTTCATCCCTGGCATAACCAGGGAGCGTATGCTGACATCACTGGATGCTGACATGCTGACGGGTCGTTCCTGTCGACCCCCCTCCGCTCCGGATTCACCAGTTTCACTACCATTCGAACCCAAAGGAATTCGCAGCATATTGCAGCATCCGTCCACTTGATTCGTCCACTGATCCGGTGGTTTCTTTTGGGATCACCACATCTCCATCGTTGAAAAGCAGAGCTGTTGACCTGCGCGGAACCCGGGCTCCACGTGGCCGGGGGCTGGGCTGGGCTGGGAGCTGAGCTGCTCAGGTGGGAGCGAAGCTTTTGCCAAGCACAGATTCTCAACCGTTGGAGCCGTCCTTCGAGCCCAGCAAGGCACGGCTGTGTTTGGATGTCTTGGCTGTTGTTAGTAGGGTAACGAGTGAGGGTTAACGTGTTGGGTAACGGGTCATACTCAGTTCTTACTGTACTTGGTGCATCTGGGGTGTATAGCAAGTGATCAGCTGGTCTCTTTGGGTGCGAGATTTCAACAAAGAACGAAGACAAACAAGGATCACAAGGCAGAATTTTCCTTGGCTTCAGCCAGTCAGCAGGTATATTTTTGTGTATTTTAGCGAGGGTTTCTGTGCAGATGACAAATTCAACTTTTTTATCCTTGTATTGGAGGAACTCTGGACACCCTTCAGAAATGTTGCAAGTCGCACCGACCACCCGTGGTTGCTGGTGGTCGGTGTTTTCCTTTCTTTTTCCGTCAGGTTTGCCTCCGCCACCAGACTGCCAAGCAGCTGGGCGCCACCCCGAAGAACGCTACCAGCCGGGAGCCGGGAGGGCCCAGATGGGCCCAGATACGTGCCGAAAAGCGCCTGACCACATCCCCAACGTGTTAAGATGCTTCAAAGTCAAAGGATCGATGTGCTGTTTTCCATGCGGAGACGATTGAGTTCTCCAACGTCGTGGCTTTGTGGCATGGAAGCAGAGAGAGAGAGAGAGACCTTTTTCCGCGCTTCACACGTTTAAGCCTTCCCAGTCTTGTGCGCTTTTCGGCCAGTGTGTCGGTAACAATCAGATCTTCCATGTAGGACGAATCGGAAAAACAGCCGTAAGGCGCCGCGAGGGTGCAAATCAGACTAGGGACTCCAATCTCATTTGGTCGTACTGTAGGTAGCAATTAGTTTTTGAGTCGTAGCAAAGTGGCTGAAGCATTTTTGGGCGCCCTGGCAGTAGATGGGAAGAGAAGTTGTATTGGCATCTGACCATTTTTGATATGATGAGCCTTGGGTCCTGTTTGCTGCAAGCCATGTCTGTCACCAGAATATGCAAAGGGGCAAAGGGACCTAATACAGTAAGTCAAGTGCAATTCGTAGCTCCGCCGTCCACGACTTTTCACCAAGTGATACCAGATGATTCTGTTCGTTAGCTAATTCTCTAAAAGCTCAAGGACTCAAGTTCTCTAGTTACTAGTTCCTGTCAAAAGCAGCAGGCAGTACGAGGGATGTTTGTTAGTGAATCAGCCCACGGTCTTCTTTTTTAGGAACACACATCACAGACCATCACAGACCCCTTGAAATCTCATGAAGTCTTTGGTCACGCCTGGCTGCGCGGGCGGTTTGCGCGCCAACACCGCCCGCGCGTTCTGAGGGTGAAGGTCATCGTTGAGGCGGCTGGACGGCTGGATGAGACATGGTTAAGGGGAGTTGAGGCTTTAGCTTTACGAGGTGAATAGTATTTGGGTTTGCTGTGGCACTTTGGCTCTTAATGAATGATGGAGGGCAGGTGTGAAGGTTTTGTCCCCTCCTCTTCCGCGCTGCCCTAAGGCGCCTAAGGGCACCTGCGGCAAGTGCCGATCTCCTTCGGCTCACAGCCGAATCCATTGAACCCTGAAGGCTTGTGATATCTACTATTGGACTTAGGCTGGCTCGGTGAGCTGGCCCCTTCTGACATCTCTTGGAGGTAGATGAAAGTATATGACAAGCTTTGCATGCGGCTTCGCAGCCCCTTTCCGTTCCTACCGGGATGGACACGATGGATGGATACGATGGACTTCTCACTTTGCTGCTCTGGTTCCAGGCCCCTGGCCTATCAGCATCCCAAGACATTGGCGCGGGCACCCTTCTCGTCGAGGTGAGAAAGGAACTTTGCCATGTGGAAGTTGCTATTCTGTGCAGGATGACTTTGTTTACAAGTACAAGTTGTAAGTTGTGTTGTGGATCCTAGCATACTATTCTTCTAATATGACTTATTATTCAAACAACCTCTACTGCCCTTCGCTATCTAACCCGTCAAAGCAAAGGTCAAGGGTTCTCTGAGGGTGCTCTTCATCTTCAGATCATTCTGTAGTTGAGGGATTAAACATCCAAGATCTAAATATCACTAAATATCTAAGGAACGCGCCCGCATGGCACTTGGCTCGGCGACGGACCGGTGGACCAAGGTTCCGGTTCCAAAGCTTCGCCGTGGTATTCCGGAAGAGACAGCAGGTAGTACCTGGGTAGACCAGGATGTGGGTCTTCTTAGCTATGTTTGTTCTGCTTGTTCAATCAACACTTGTCTATTTCCAGCAAACATGAAGTGTGTTTCAAGCATGTTGAATGTTTCGACGGAGCTTCAACCTTCCCCGGACCCAGCAACATGTTCGACTCTGCATCGCGACAGATGTTTGAAATGAATCCGTTTTCGTGGTTGACAACACTGTGACTGAACTTTGTGTTGTCCCACCAAAAGACATAGCATATGCAACTGCAGAAGGTCCAGGTATCATACAGTACAGAAAACATCATAACATCTCATCTTCTGTTTAGAATACATACTTTCCCCTTGCACGGTGCTTTCACCAAGCCGCTCATGTGGATATGTTCGGTGTTTCTCAGCACACGCACTGAGGATTAACATCATTTCTATTGTGCGGGGGCCCACCGGGACGGCTGCCTGGCGGATGCCGTGCCTGGTAGCTACGGTCCTCTTGGATGCCAAACATTTGGAAGTCAAGCATGCAAAAGGAGCCTAGTGCAGCTGTACATTAAGTATGTTTGTGTGTCTGTTCGTATGTATTGTATGTATATGGTACATACATATATATATAGTCATATATTAAAATATATATATATATACTTATATATAAACATATATAATAGGTTTCACAAATATGTGTATATATATAGTATAATATATATATGTGTGTATATGCAATGCACAATGCAGCTGTAGTGCAATGTCATGTCTATGTAGAAATCGATGGACCCCAGCGGAACGTCACCTTCCTTCACCGGGAAACCGGACCGCCTTGGGGGCGCCCAAGAGGGGCGTGGCCAACTGGTGGCCGTGTCCTCGCCATGTTTCGCCCCTGGGTCAGTCGAGTTGGATTCCGGGGGAGGTTGAGTCATGATGCTGTGATGACATGCAGGTGACAACGTTGGCATTGGATGCCGACATTTTGCCGACATTTGGACACCCAAACTGCACCAGGTGATGTTTGCTGATCCGAACTTCAACAAAAGGGGTCAAGAGCTACACCCTCAGAACCCTTGTTGATGTAGGAAAACATTTGGTCCAACGTGAACAAGGAATCAGAGATGGACTAGTCTCACTGACGGAACTTCGCGGCGTCACTGAGGTGCAAAAGATGCATCAACTTTCCCTGATAACAACTTGTTCCAATGGTGTGGGCCCCCAGTTGTCCTCAAACACAGGCGACTCTGGGTTTGGGCGATTTGGGCTTGAGAGATTGTTCTGGCACTCTCCAAAGGAAGCCGGGACTGGTTT